ATAGTGTCGAAGAATATTTTTTTTTTTTTATTAACTGAAGATATTTGTTTTAGCTCATAAAATTCATACAAATTATCCGGCCAGAATATAATTTACATTGCTGGAATTCTTACAATTTGCTGATCATTTTGAATATAAACATCATAGATTTTGCATTAGACATACAAATTTTAGATGTAAAGTTTATTCTGAGTAAATATGTTATCTTTTGTGAAAAATATATGACATTTATATTCAAAATATTCCTGGTCTTACAAGGAATCCAGCAATGTCAATTATATTATCCTAACTTTAGTTTGAGGAATTATTTATTACTATACCTGGTTTTCCCCCAAAAATTTCTCAGAGGGAAGAGCCAGTGAGTGTAGTGTGAGAAGAGGGGGAGGGAGTTGAGTCCATTATTTGAATGGACATTAACTTGGCGACTGTATTTCTCTATTTCTCTTAAGTATTAATTGTGTGCATGTACCATCATAAAATTAAGATGTTATTTTTACTACAACATAGTTATTTGTCGTCAAAAAGTGGAGTTTGGGGGTCGGGCTGGGTTCTATTGGAATTAATCCCATATGTTCTGTTATTCACTTAACGCGGTTTTCACTTAACGCGACCCTCTGGGTTCAATTGACCGCGTTAAGTGGGGTACAACTGTAGTATTTAGGTTCATTTGGTGCCACTTTAATAAAACCCTATAAAAATAAATACCCCCAAAAAAAAAAAACCAGTTTGTGATATAGTCCAGAATGCCACATCTAGCTTTATACCTAGGTACAGTCTGCGCAGAAAGTTGGGTCGCGATAGAGCCGACGAACAAACTTCTCACGTAAATAAGTTTATATGTCGTGAAGGCTGTCCCGGGTCGCAAGATGCGAGATGTTAGTACGCTTGGTTGGTTGGCAAGTGGTGACACTTGGCAACTGAGCACACGTCACGGCTTGCTCTCAGTGCGCCTCTGGTAATCGTGAGGGGAAAATTAACTCTGCGGGTTTGCGCGCCCCGTGGCCATTTTTTGCCTCGTTTATGGTGCATTACCTCAACATAGTGGCCATCAGAGATGTCCAGGAGGGTTACTACAAGGGTCGACATTACAGCAGTGATTGCATTGTACAAAGCAAACCATGAACTGAGAGATATTTCTGCTCAGACTGGTGTGAGGTTGCGTGTTGTGCATAAACTTGTGAAGAGTTACCGTGAGCTTGGAGAGGACATGTTGCCATTTCCCCTACCCAAGTCTGGTAGGCCTAAATTATTGTCTCTACGGACACTTGAGGTTATTTCACGCCAAATTAAGTCCAATCCCGCCCTCACAGCACACGAAGTGAAAGAGAAACCCCCGTCTTCTCGGCCACGTCTCCTTACGCTGTGTTCGGCAATCCTTACGTGATACCCTTGGATTTAAAGGCTTCCGTGCACTGTCGTAAACCTCTACTGACAGAGAGACCGAAGGAAAATAGAGTGAAATTTTGCAAGAAATGTGCAGTGTGGGGCTTAGGGTCATGGAGGAGTGTTTTGTGGTCTGATATGGCTAAAATTTTTTTGGACTGGCAGTGGTGGAGGGAGGGTGTACCGCCCTCCTCACTCGGATGCATATCTCCCACAGTACTCAGTGAAGACTGTTGAGCACCCTGCCTCGCTTATGGTTTGGGCTTGATTTATGTATTATGGTGTTAGTAAACTAGTAATCCTCCCTAAGAGCCAGATGATGAATCAGTACTCTATCTTGAGCTGCTCAGTACTTCTTACCTGAATCATTTGATAAAGCTAAGGCAAGCCTTTTCATGCAGGACGGTGTCTCATGCTAAAAGTGTCATACAGTGGCTCAAAGACTGTGAGGTACTGTGGAGGAGAAGGGAGAAGAGAAGCATTTTAATGCTTCTTGGAAGGCGAGTCACCTTCCATCATAATGTCAGGAACCTCTGGACTGACAGATTCTCTAACATAAAAGTCCTCTCCTTGTTGGAGAGAAACACTGAGGGGAATCATCTTTCTCACACTGCCTTTCAGAGAAGAAGCTGTCAAGTGTTAGTTGTGTGGCATTTCTCCTCCTTTTCTTTACCTGGTTTTTGAAGGAGACCACTTTGTTCTTCACAGTACAGTCAACCCTCACTTTACGCGGTCCCACATTCCGCGTTTCCACGTTTACGCGGTACCCTGCTGGAACCCGGGATGCTCACATTCCGCGGTGCGTGTACCCCTTTACTCGGGTGAAGTATAATTTTTTTATTTAGCTCATAAAATTCATACAAATTATCTGGCCAGAATATAATTTCTATTGCTGGAATTCCTACAATTTGATGATCATTTTGAATATAAGCATCATAGATTTTGCATTAGACATACAAATTTTAGATCTAATGTAAGTATTTTGTTTACTCTGAGTAAATATGTTATCTTTTGTGAAAAATATGACATTTATATTCAAAATATTCCTGGTTTTGCAAGGAATCCAGCAATGTCAATTATATTATCCTAACTTTAGTTTGAGGTATTATTTATTACTATACCTTAAAATCTAGTGGTTTTCCCCCAAAAATTTCTCAGAGAGAGAAGAGCCAGAGTGTGTAGTGTGAGAAGAGGGGGAGGGAGTTGAGTCCATTATTTGAATGGACATTAACTTGGCGACTGTATTTCTCTATTTCTCTTAAGTATTAATTGTGTGCATGTACCATCATAAAATTAAGATGTTGTTTTTACTAGAACATAGGTATTGTCGGAAAAAGTGGAGTTAGGGGGTCAGCTGGTCTCCATTTCATTTAATCCCATATGTGATGTTGTTCACTTTACGCATTTCTCGCTTTACGCGTGCCTCCGTGGGTTCAATTGACCGCGTAAAGTGAGGGTTGACTGTACACAATATCGGTTCTGTTGTTTCCACATCAGGGTGCCTTGAAGCCAGTTTCCTAAACATCTCCCAGTGGTGAACAACATCTTTTAAGTCTGAAGAAGACATATAGTCATCACTTTCCTTTTCCTCTTCACCATTGTCTGTTTCAAGCATCTCATCCAGTAGCTTCAAACCTTCATGAGGAAGTTCCTGCTCATGAGACATCACAAGCTCTTCTACATCCTCCTCCTCCACTTCGAGTCCCATTGACTGACCAATGGACACAATCTCCTTGTCCAGCTCTGCTTCTTCGTGAAATCCCTCAAAATCATGGACTGCTGATGGCCACAGTGCTTTCCGTGCAGAGTTCAGGCATCGAGTAGAAACTTTTTTCTATGCTGACACGATCAATTTTACAGCCTCCAGGATGTTGTATTGCTTCTTCCAGAACTGTGCCAGTGATAGATCAGGATAAGTGGTAGTTGCCTGATGACACCTTATAAACATCTTCATATGCAGCTTCTTGAAGTTGCTGATTACATTTTGGTCCATTGGCTGCATAATTGATGTAGTGTTGAGAGGCAAAAGCAAAAATTTGACAGTCAAATCGAGCCTCCAAAGTGCTGGCAAGTTCAGGGTCATGACCAGGGGCATTATCCAGAAGGAGAAGAGCCTTAGTAGGAAGTTTATTGCTGGTGAGGTAACACTTCACAGTAGGGCAAAATACCTCAACTGCCCATTCATTAAATAGCTGTCTCGTTACCCATGCCTTATGGTTTGACTTACAATAAACTTCAAGTTGTCATCTTACACCTTTTCATGCTTGAACACCCTGGGGTTCTCAGAGTGGTATACGAGCATAGGCTTCAGTCTGAAATACCCTGAAGCAGTTTCAGGTGGATAACTGACAATTATGGGTGTAAACACTGACAACAATGCCGTCTCTTATCCTCTTGTGTGTTTTAATATTCTACTTATTATTAATGAATTGTGTTGTTCAGTTCACATATATAAAGACTAATTCAATCAAATACATATTCAGTCATAAACAATTATGAATCTTGTACATATTCTTAAAAAGATAAATGACGCGGTATCCTTAAATGCGCACATACTCATATGGTGGCGTTCCCAATCTATCTCTTTTTTTTCTTTGCCATTAGTGGTTAGCTACTTCTATTGTTCCATTTATTAACATTAAATAATGTTACTTAAAACGTGTATTTTCATTTTTTACATTAATTTTACGACAGCTACAACCAGGTTCTTATTTTCATTTTCTCGTATAGAACTGTAGTCCCGGACTCCCGGCTGCAAACACTAACGAAAACAATGGCGTCCCATCTCTTGTGTGACCATATTATTATTCATTTATGTATAAGGTGCATTCAGAAACATTTAAAGAATGTATTTTGCAATTTTCATTAATTGTATTGTTTTTTTGGGGGGAAAGAGGGTAAAAAGCCACACAAAAGATATGAAAAGGTCGCACTTGGGAACGCATCTCATTATTATTACTTTATTTTAATGGTAATTAATGATTTGCAATAAGACGATTCACCTTACACTGCAGTATTGGAGGACACATTAATGTCGTTATTCAAGGCTTTACTGTACTATGAGCTTTTATGACCAAATTTTTAGGGAAAATGTTTGGGGGTTGACTTAAATGCGAGTCGTAGTTACTTTAAGGGTTGAAATCCATGCATCATGGAGCCAAATTGCTGTCTTAAAATATGAAAAATCTTAACTACTGTAGCCTTCAATTCTTCTTCTTTGCTACATGTTACTGAGCATGTGCTTAGGTATGTACAGTCAACAGCAGAAATTTGTCTTGATCCAACTTGCATAGATACTTCTGTAATTGTGTATTGTACAAGAAATGTAATGTATTCTTAGGTAATCTGATGATAAATGTTGAATAACTAGCCATTTATAGCATATGTCAATGCTTCCCCATAGTGTTCCAGATCACATGGCTTGTATCATGCAAGTTGGTTCTGGACAAACTACTGCTGTTGATTGTTCTGTTGCTGTACAATACTTCAAAGATTTGTATATGAAATTTTTTTAAATCACTGCAACATATAAAATGGAAAGAATGCACTTTTAAGTGGAGACCAACTACCTCATGAATTGGATTAAAGTGAAACTTTCCTGTATTTTGTCATTTCAGGACAAGGGATGAATAGACTGCCACCCGAACGTCAAGTTCTAAAGCCCCATGTGACACATCCTGCTGCAAATGAGGAGGACTGGGACAAGGAAGCACTTGCTGCATCTTACAATCCTACTCAAAGAATAATTTACAAGACAATAGCAAGGTGTGTTGATGACTCACCATATTTTTCCTTGGAAGATTGTATCGCACTCGCCTATTAGTAAATACATGTATAACGTAGCTAGTTACTTGTTCCCTGTTAAGGGAACAGAATACGGTCCAGTTATTCCAGTAAATCAAATGCCTCATGGATTATTTTTGTCTGCATTGCAACCATTGAATGGCTGAAATAAGTTGATGAACCTTAGCTTTCATGCTTAATACATGTCACGGTTTCTTGTAAAAGGCCTATATCTGCAGATTACGTTAGTGGATCTCAACCCTTTGGATCTTATGACATGCCAGTGCTGGTCCTGGGCTTAGGTGGGCGCCAGTTGGTGATGAGGGGCGACATAGCACGCTCAGTTTGTTTTTTTCTCACAGGCTAAAGATGAAATTTTGGATTTGCAAAATCTAGGGTAATCAAGAATTTCTTATGGTAGTTCACTCACATTTTTTGGGTGATCGATGTATTACTCTGTAATAGTAAGCAAATGTTGGTGTAATCTACCATTGGAATACAGTACAGTATAGTCTCGATTTAACGGAATCCAATATAATGAACTTGATTTAGCAAAAAGCATTTATTCCGTTATTTTTTGCTTGATTTAGCGAACTCGTTCACTGAATCAAGATCAATTCTGTAAGTGATATCCCCGGTAGCCATAACAATTGGTGCAGAGCACATCCAGGGATGAGAGTTTTCTGGGTAACAAGATGACTCTCAAACCCGGAAAAATTCTTTACCCCGGATCCTTTTCCGGTTACTGGGACATGTTTCCAAGTGTCTAAACTCGACACCTTGCAAAGTCGCACACTAGCCCACTTCCCAGAACGTTTCTGGGTGATGGAGATGTTTCCCTCGAGTCTAAACTACTGGAATCTGTAAATACAGTTCTGATTAAGTTAGAAACTTCATTTCTTTACTATATTATATTCCAGAATAGTTAATCTAAAAGTTTGGTTAAATAAATATATTAAAAAATATAAAATCTCTATGATACGGGCATGAATGAAGCTGTGTGTTACAGCAAAGACTATTATTTTCCACTCCCATGGAGCTGTGGGGTATTAGTGGGTCACCTGACCTGACCTGATACAATGTCAGGTGGAAGTAGGATGGGGGATTAGCGGTCTCATATTACTGACCTGATGGATTGTCAGGTCACCCTTTCTTGGTTGGTGGATTAGTGGGTCTCATGACCTGAAGATGTCTTGAATAACCACGAGATCCTGAAGTATTTTTTAAGAGATATTGTGGTAAGTACAGATATACTGTAAGTATAAATGAGCTAAGTTTTATCCCTTCAACATTACATAACATTCTAAAATATGGGATAAGAAAGCAGAAAGGTGTGGGTAATTAGAGAGATGGAGTGGAAATGAGTGTTGCCAAGTGCTCCTCCACCATGAAGATGTCGGGAATTCCATTCTTTAAAAAAAAAGAAAAATGTTGATACCTGAGTCACTAAAATCAGTTCTAATTTTGTTAGACAACATTTATTTATCAAAATAATCCTGAATACTTGATCTAAAGGTTTGGTTAAAGAAATATATTTAAAAAAACAAAAGCTCTATATGATATGGGCGTGAATAGAGCTGTGATACTTTTATCCTCTGTGCAACTGATCGTCTCATTAGCCGGTTGTGGGCGATCGGTCACGTCTCTGTTACACACTTCACTCAATTGACTGTAATACGTAACTAATCATGTCTTGACACTTCTGATGAAGGTTGGGTGGGAGATTATTGGGTCACGTTACTAATCTGACCTGATGCACGTCAGGTCACCCAGTGTTGGGTGGGGGATTAGTGGGTCTTATGACTTGAATGGCATTTTTCACCAATGAGGTATATACCTGTATAAAGTACTATACTGTATTGTATATGAAGAGTACAGATATTAATAAGCACAGATTATTACAGTAATATATCTACTAATTTATGAAAAACAAATAAACAATATTGTACTGAGAATGAGTCGGTACAATAGACAGTGAGGCGACCCTTTGGGGAGGGGGGTGGCACGCTAACTTTTACCCCCCAATAGACCCTTCTCCCTCTTCCTCCCTACCTCACAACAAACGTTATCTTTACTGTGTTAGTGTTAAAAGAGATGAATTTGATTCCACAATGATCCTCTGAGACATTTTCATTGTCATATCCTTAAATGAGAAGCTGAATTAGATGGTAAATATAAGTATTTACTGTATGTGAAGGTTACTGGTAGAAGAACTTATTTGAAATACTCCGCAACATTCAATACCATAATATCCTGACCAGTTTTCCCCCTGAAAAAAACATAAACAAAAACATAATTTAAAGCAGCATATTACTGTACTCATTTTGTACTAAATGTACTATGCTATAGGACTAAAAATTTTCTCATGCAAATTATGAGATGTTTATACTTAATTAATCACTATCTTGCAGGGACTCGAGCATTGCAAGTTATATTCTCTTAAGTCAAGACTGACATTTTATAAGTGAAAACTTTAAGCCTAAAACAAAATTCATTCCATGAATCATTATCAACACTGTCTGCTACCCCACTGCTGGCTGGGAGGAGGGGTGTCGACAGCCAGGAGGGAAGATTAACGCGTACTTAAGGATTATGAAAGATGGAGTTAAAAATTTTTCACTTATAAAATGATATTGACTTGACTTGGGAAAACATAATTTTAGCAATTAACCCGTAAGCCCCGAGTTAGGGTCCTACTGGCAGTACCAACCCCCCAACTCCTCCCACCTCCCCCCACCCCTCCCACCTCCCCCCACCCCTCCCACCTCCCCCCCCTCCCACCTCCCAACCTCCCACCTCCCCAACCTCCCACCTCCCCCAACCTCCCCCCCCCCACCTCCCAACCCTCCCACCTCCCCCAACCCCTCCCACCTCCCCCCAACCCCTGGCACACGAGGATAAATTAAGATAAAAACAACTTTTCCAAAAATAATAATAATAAACAAGTGGCGGGAATAGGCGGAAGTTCTGGAACGTCACCCAGGTCGCGCTGGTCGGACGTTCTGGAACATCACCCGGGGCCTAAGGGTTAACTTAGTACATTTGAGTGCAAGTTGTGATAATTTATGTGGTTGCAGTTTCAAAGCTTTGTGACATCACTAGTGTATAATGCGTCGCCATATGTCCTCATTTATTCATTGATCAGTTGTCCAAGTGCAAAAGTAGCCCAGTCGAGCTATCATGTATCAATTAGTTTTAAAATAGAAATTATAATGTAAAATGTAATACGACAATGGTTTAGTAGTGCTGTTAATGTGTGTGCTGGTTAAGTGTCTTGGCATGTCACCTCACCACCCGACTCCTGAACAAACTCTTCATCAACTTCAAATCCTACAATGTGCTTGGCAAGCTCAAAACACACTCACTCACTCACTCACTCACTCACTCACTCTTTCTCTCTCAGACACAGACACGGCTTGACACAGCCACTCTCCCTGCTTACCTACCAGCCCCCCTTCCCACTGACTTAGTAGAAGAATTTGAAGTACAAAACGTCTGGACAAACTAAAATTAAAAGGCTCTACCACCCCCATTGACTTACCAATGAAACTCTTCAAGGAGTTCTCCTCGGAGCTTGCTAAACCCCTATGCTCCATCATCAATGCTTCTCTCAGTCAAGCCAGATGCCCAGCTGACTGGAAGACCTCTTATGTATCACCAGTGCCCAAGTCAACCAGCCCACAATCCTTAAATCAGCTATGACCTATTGCAATCACCCCAATACCCAGCCTAATCTGTGAAAGTTTTGTGTTTGACTGGGCTTATACTGATATTGCAGGAGTTGTAGACCCTCAGCAAATTGGCAATATGAAAACTTCCTCCACCACTCACTGTCTTGTCAGCTTTCTCGATTACATATACCGCCATCTCGAGAAACGAAAAACGTCTGTAGCTGTCGCCTTCATTGATTTCACTAAAGCATTCCACCTAGTCGACCACAATTTAATCATCAACAAAGCTATTGACCTCGGGCTTCGGAGAAGTCATATACCATGGCTTACAGACTTCCTCAGTGACCGACGCCAAGCTGTACGCTTCCGAGGGGCTGTCTCCACCTTTCGGTCACTCACCTGTGGCGTCCCCCAAGGCACCAAGATGGGACCACTCTGCTTCCTTTTGCTTATCAATGATGCGCTAAGAGAAACCCCTGCTCGCTGGAAATATGTCGACGACTCCACCATTGGGATCAGCGTCAACAATTCTGCTCCCGACTATACCGCCCTTCAGGATTTATTGAACAGTCTCCAAAACTGGGCCACCAACAACCACGTCACCATCAACCATACCAAGACCATGGTTATGCACATCAACCTCTCCTCCGACTTTGTCCCACCCCCTTCCTTTACTTTAGGTCCAAACACACTCCAGGTTGTAGATTCCACGAAGCTCCTCGGCGTCACCATAGACAACAAACTAAATTGGAAACCACACGTCAGTGAAGTTGTCAAATCCTCCAGTTTCTGTCTCCACCTCCTCCGCCGACAAAAGTCCCTCAGAGTTCCTGCACCCGAGCTCCTCAGTGTTTACTCAACATTCATACTTCCCAAGCTCGCCTATGCCTCCCTACCTGGTCTTCTTCCCTAAATGCCACACAACATAAACACCTAGAAAAAGTGCAAAAGAGGGCATGCAAGATTATTCTCTCCCCTTCCTACTCCACATATCAAGAAGCGCTCAACACACTGACCCTTTCGACTCTCACTGACCATCACCACGACCTCATCTGCAAATTTGGTAAGAAGCTTCTACACCATCCTCGACACCGGCTCCTACTACCACCTGAGATCCCTAGTCCGAGAATTGCTGTTCGACACCACAACCGCATCCAGCCCATACGTGCACGAACTGATCGCTATAAGAACAGCCCAGTCCCAACCATTGTAAAAATTATCAATAACTTGTAATAAACCAGTGTATTCACTTCCAGTAAATACTACTACTTGCACTGTCACTATGTTGAAATGCCCTATAGTTTGAGCTTT